GAGACCAACATGATCGGATACAGCGCGTTCAGGCGACAGTGGGATGAGGGCTTCAGTGGCCTGGGGCCTAATTCCCGGAAGCCCTAGTACCCCAGCTCCCAAACCCTGGCAAGGTACACGCCGGGCATTACACAATCCTTCGGCTGAAGCCCTTCTTGTTGTTAATTGTCGCCTGGCACCCCGCAGAAGCTAAAAAATCCTCCAGGCCTGAATTCCGTAGCAGCCCCAGATCCTCCCTGCTTGCTACCGGACGCACCCCGATACCCGAAGCCGTGAACGAACCCTGGACTCGAAGGCCTCACCGACACTTCAACCGAAGAGTCCGAAGGGATCAAAAGTCGAATGATAAGCCCTTCTTATAATAAGGATCCTACTATTTAGGGTACTAAAGTAGGGTCCCCTATTTTCGGAAACCCCCATATGCCTGGATCCTTGAAACCCTGAACCCAGAAGCTCCTTCTTACCAAGACTGGGTTTAGGGCTGACCCTACTGTTAGGCAGATGAGGAAGTCAACAGTCGACGCTTGTCGCAAGGATGTAGGCAAGCCCAAAGCTGCTTGAAACATTTCCTGGCTTCCGACAGCCAGGATCACAAGCACCACCACTCAAGTCGACGCGGTCCAGGCGCTCTTGCCTCGCACCTCGCACCAGGAGTCGCCGCCACGGCTGTCCTGCATGGTTTCGGGGGTTTGGGGTTGAGGCTTTCAGGGTAAGGGTCCATTCCGGGCGCCAAGAATTTCCAGAACCTGCAATAAGGGACACCCCGAGCAGAGGGGGGGGGCCAGTGATTCTGAAGGTGCCCGGCCTGACGAGTCTCGAGTTTAATGAGGTTTTTCCTCTTTGCGGCCTTTACGGGTTCCTCTTGAAGGGTTGAGGGCTCCTTTCAGGTTCCCGTTTAGAGGAGTAGGTGGGGTAGGGGACGGCGCAAATGCTCAAGCGGCAGTAAAGACCAAGATGAAGCAACGGCAATAAGATGCATTCCTCCAGGCATGTAAGTAGTCGTCTGTGTTCAACCGCCCATGATATTTGTGAGGAGAATGGACATAGCAATATCAGTGAGAAGCGGGCTGTTCAACATGCCGGCAAACATAGTTTTGACGAGACACGAATGGCCCGCATATGCGAGCCTCTGCCGGTTTAAGGCTCAAGGTATGGGGTTTATGGTTCCGTCAAGTTCCGTCTGTAGTATTCCACCCGGAAGGTTGACGGTTCAAGGTTGAGGTTGAGGGTTCAACTCAGTTCACGCTTTAACGGGCTTGGGTGTCTCTGTCCAATAATAGGCAACAGACCATCTGCAACCGGACGCTAGTGCGCATATGCTTGAATATATAAAAAGATCTTCTTGTTGTTCCTTTGTGAGACCTATCGAAACAACGCCAACACATGGACAGGAGATCACCATCGCCTTGCATGATGCAGTTCTTCACGGAGGAGGCTCCGCCCGGATCGTCTGCGCCCTTATCGGAGCAGGAGCAGATGTGAATTACCAGCTGAACACCGAGGCCGGGATGCCACGGCAGCCTCCACTTACTTTACGGTGAGCCGTGTATGTGTATATATATATATGTATATATAGAGTATCTAGGGTTTAGGGTATAAACATATAAAGGGCTTAGGGTCTAGGGAATTAAAGGATAGTTGTAGCAGTAACAGTCGTAATAGTCACGAGAGGCGTAGTATTGAGGATTAGTATTCAGGCAGGTAAATGTATCCGTCGTCCCAGGACAGGCCCTGAGCCCAACTCTGTAGTGTTACGAAAGTAACCCTCAGACAAGAGACCCTGAAAGCTAGTTATCTAAGCCTAAAGCCTAATGGCCCCAAACCCAGGTGTCCAGCCCAATGGGCCTGATGATGGCTTACTTCAGCCTCCGGCACCGATGGAGCCAGTCCACCTTGAGTACATATGCCTACCACCACTACCAGGCCCTTTGGTTCCAGGAGGGGATTCCGGGCCTGGCGGTCTGTGTTGTGTGGAGTTATTTGCAACTATCGTTGTTGATAGTTAGCGGTACTGACTTTGAAATACTACAAACATCCTGTAAGATTCATCGCTATCGGAGATCTCCTCTCGTCTTGTGTCCAGGCATCTCCGCTGATGTGCAGCGTCATCACGAGTTCTTTCGAGGCAGAGATGTAAAAGATCCGTCCCAGTCGTTTCTTTCTGAGAAGAGGTCAAGTGAGCTGAAACCCCTCCAGCCAATACCATTGTATAGTTCAGGGTTTAGGTTGTTGGACACCTCTGCCGGAAAACGTAGACTTCTTGGGCTCTGAAGGCATGCGCTAAACCCTTACCCATAATGCCTTGAAGCCCTAAACCTTAAACCCCTAAACCCTAAACTCTATAAACCTTAAAAAGGCGACAGCTATCTTGTTGGCTGCGGGCGCTCGGCTAGACCTGCGGAACGCACGCGGGCTTACTGCAGCGGATTTGGCCAGGGAGGTCTCGGGGTGCAGAGTGAGTACAATTATTATTATTAATTATTAAGTATTATTTATTATTTATTATTATTATTATTTATTATTATTATTATCATTTATTATTATTATTATGATTATTATGATTATTATTTATTTATTCTTCTTCTTCTTATTATTATTATCAGGGTTTACGGGTTTAGGGTTTGGGCTTTAGGGAGTTGCCTGTGATGGGCTTGATTCGGAGCAGGATTCGCCGCAGCTGCTCTTGTCAGTTGTTGAAGTGGTTCCAAACTTGTCAACGAAGACGACCAGCCCCGCCGGGCAGTTCCCTAAACCCTAAACCCTGAACCGTGTGGCGGAGTCACCCAAACAGTTCCCTGGTCAGGTTTCGGCTCCCGATCATGTAGTCGCTTCTTTGGAAGGGAACAAAGAAGCGGTGGAGAGGCTTACCCAGGTTGTCGCGGACTTCGTGAAGGAGTACTTCCTCATGACCACCCAATCATTCTGAGCCTTTTTTGCCTTAGCCTTAGCTTTCTCTTCCACCCTGAGCCGGAGTTTCACGAGGGTGCTGCATTTGCAGCCTGCTCTGGCCATAGTTTCACACAACGCGCAATCTTGCATCCCGTGGACCAACTCTGTGGTTGGATGTCTCAGACATGAGACGAGACGAGCTGTCTCAAAATGGGACAGGGAGACGCGCAGTGGAGTTCGAGAAGGCTCAGACAAGGCATCTGTACAGCTGCGTGCTGTGTAAATGACCTGGACTTCGTCACTATAAGTTTGTGTTCCTGGTTCTTCATTCCACACAACCATGACTAGGCATTGCCAGACGGATTAGTTATGATTTGCGTGTACTGTTGCTGTTTGCCGAGATTGTTTTTCCAGCACGGTGGGGGCTACATTGCTTTGTCCTTCGGTGCTCCTCATTCTGAGCTTTGCAGCTGCTTTGTTGTTGCTGTTGTAGTTCGTTGTGCCTCTTTGCAGTCTTGGCAACGGTGCTTCTCTCAGGATCACTAGTACAAACTGGATCATTCCTTCTGCTGCTGAACCTCATATTGCTTTGCAGTTGGAATTCTTTCTGACATCAGCCTCTGCCGTAGTATTACAATCTGCCGGGGTCTGATGTTGCTGGTGTCTGTCTTGTTGATGCTTTTTTGTGTACGGCAGTTGCAGTGCCGCTTCCACAATCCTACACCCCAAACACGCTCAACACCCAAGGGGCTCTAAACCGTTAAACTCTAAAAGGCTAAACCGTCTTTCGACAGCTACTCTTCTTACTGCTATACAGTAAGTGTTGTTCTTATTACTACTCTTGCTATTGTTGACAATTAGTTGTCCGCGCTGTTGTTGTCTCGGTCCTTGCTTTCTGTTACTGATGTTCTCCTAACATCTTGCTCATTGAGTTTAGGGTTTAGCGTTCACGCTTGTTTTGGTTTCCTGCATTGTCACTGATTTCACGTGTTGCCCTGGTGTGCTCGAACTTTGTTTGTGCGTTTATTCGATGCTTGCGGCTCGATTTATTCGCTGAATATGTCTCTCTACGCTTCCGGAGGTCGCAGTAGGATCCCCTTGTGGTCCCTAAATGTCTAGCAAAACCCCAGACCTCTATTCCAATCATTACGCCCCCTCCCTATCCTAATTCGTCTTGTCTAGACACCCTGGACCCAACTTTGCGCCAGGAGCATGTCTCAGAGCCGGAAGGGCGGATCATGTGTTCTTCTTCCTCACATGACATAGTATAGACTCTAAATTGTATTGTAGTATGACAGTCAGGGACAGGAGCTGTAAGGGGCGGTTATTACTAAAAACCTTCTCGCGTGACTGTGCCTCACTTGCAGGATCCACGCTATGAGTGGCAAATGTGGTTTGCACAAGGCTGTTTCTTAAGAAGCGGCAGTAGTTTGACAGTCCTAAGCTTCAGGCATGGCTTTGATGCCGATCTCCTCGCGAATGCAGTGCAGAAGCTCATCAAGGAGGAGGCAGCTTTGGGGATGGTAATCGGTGCATGTGTTTGTAAATGCACATAAAATTACATGTACATACAAATGCAAATCTGGATGCATCGTTTTTTTTTTATCATGTGTGCGTTTAGGCCTATGCACACATATCATAAGTACATGCGCACACACACAGACATACATAAGCGTGCGGCTTCTTGGAAACCCGTATAATTTCGCCAGAGATGCAGACGTTCTGATTGGCACAGGTCGTAGCGTGTCGATTGGACCACCCCTCTCTCGCTCTCTCACTCTCTCTGTCTCTCTCTCTCTCCCTCCTTGCTCTTTTGTTCTTATGCTCTACATCGCAGGATTTTGCTCCACTGCAAGCCGGAAAACCTCATAACGCCTAATGAGGTCGTGCTCGGCAAATTCCACGGGTCGACTTTTACGCCCAAAGCGTACACCGATGCCGAGGCCAACAAGGTGGATGGTGGCTCGACCGTAAACTTTAGGGCCATTAGGCCCTTGACCCTGAAACGATGAACTTTAGGAAAGACTCCTAAACCCGAAACCGTAAAACCTGAGGTCCTCAGCTCTAGAGCCTTTTTCAACAAAACGCATCAACCCAAATGGCCTTGGTTTCCCTAAACCGAGGCTTCTTTGAGGCCAATGGCTACCTTACTGCCACCGCCGCGAAGTCATCTGGGCTGGGCCTGAAGGACCAGAGCTAACATGGAGGCCTGAATAAGTACCCATGGGTTTAGGGTTTAGGGTTTTAGGGTTTTAGGGTTTTAGGGTTTAGGGTTTAGGGTTTAGGGTACCCATGCTCTTCTGGGGTTCCGTATTATGGCTATAGTCTAGTAGCATGTACCCCAACACCCCAGATCAAATAATTAAGGTCCCTGCATTAGTCTTGTGAACTTCGTCAGCATGGTTAGCCATCAGTATAATGTTACTACTGTGTGATATCAACAGTAGCAACAGTAGTCGCTTGTATTCAAGAGACCTCACATATTCATCCTGTTCAAGCCTGTGATACGACATTTTCGGAACTTGGGATAACCCTGACGGCTGGAGCGCTGAGCCCTACCAATGATCAATACGGGTCCTTGCGGTTGTGTTGCAGGTCGTCGTGGTTGTCGTCATGGTTGTAGCTTAAGTGGTAGTGGAAGCATCCCAAGCTCCTCTCAGAAGCTTCGCAGGATTGGGCGGCACAGCGGAAGGCTGGTACAGCAGTAGAGTCCTTTATGTCTGGAAGACAGTAGATGAGAGGAGAGGATGCGACAAAAAAGATCAGAATCACAGCACCTTCATTGATGCCGAGTCATTAGCATGGCGGTCATCGTCGAGGTTGGCATAGAAGCAGAAGTTATCAGGGGCAGCTATAGTAAATAATATGTTTTCTTTATTATGGTAGCTTACATGGACTCCCTTAAAAAAAAGGAACCCAGGATATCACGAGTTCTATGCTCACTGTCAGCTCCTTTCCTGAAGGCTTCTGGCTACAACTTGGTCGGTGCCTTCGTCGCTAGCCACCTGGTGGATTCCGCCATGGCCTCCATAAGCGATGCCCTGGCCGGAGATGGCTGGATCGATGCACAGCCTCTGCTTCCGCATGCCCTCACGGCACCTCGATGGGCTTACTCAATCATTAAGCCCATGGAGCGCAGAAGCATTCGTTGTTCACCTCATGCTTCGGTTTGGGGTTGGTTTCTTGTCGGCAGAGCAAGGAAAGTCGAGGCTTTCCGGGTAGACTCTTGTCCATAAATACCTAAGCCACTAAAGCCATACTGATCCCCAACCCTAAGCCACCCTGAAACCTTCGCAAGCCACAGCCGAGGCAGCCGATGCCAGCGAGCTGCTGCTGCAGCTCTCGAGCCAGCCACCGGGCGGGTGATTTTTTCGGATAGTCGCAAGTCCCCAGGGTTTGGGGTTAAGTTTGTAGCGGTTTTGGAGTTTAGGTAGGTACCTGAAGTGGATTCCCAACTGCCTACATGCCCTCAGGTGATTCTTGCAGCAAATACCCCCAACGGGGCAACCGAAAACCTCAACCATAAGAAACTGGCACATACTCAAAGCTTGTGGTCTCAAGTTAATTAGACTCCGCTTGATAGAAGGGACCAAGAAGCATGGAAACCAGGACAAGGAACACCTGTGAACCGTTGGACAACACGTCACCGAAAGTCTAAACCCCAAGCGCGAAGCCCTAAATCCCAAATTCTAATCCCGTAAAGCCCTAAACCCCCTAAACCCTAAACCCTAAACCTAAACCCCAAACCCCAAACCCTAAACCCTAAACCCCAAACCCCAAACCCTAAACCGAAATCTGCCGAAGGAAGAAGCTGCCTAGCAACGCTGTGGTCTTGGACCGAGTCGCAGCAAGCAGCGGCTTTATCCAAAGCACCTCAGATACTTTGAGATAGAATTTACCAGAGTGTAGTAGAGTTATACTACTCCAGTATAACTTTAGTATGACTATACTAGTTATAGTAAAATTACGTATACTATAGTATAAATACACATTACTATCATTGCTGTGGCTTTAATTGTGTCGTTGCCAACTGTGTTTTCGTTGCCTTCGCTGTTGTGATTTTTGTTGTGCGCAGTAGTCTAGAAATTGCAGGTTTTTCCGAGTAGTGTTGATGCTAGATTCACGGGCCATTGTAACTTCAATCGTGTGTTTGTGCGGTGGTGAAAGTGCCATTCTGGCTACTGCTAGGCTGTGGCAGAATCTATGCTTGACTATGCAGTACCCACTCGCTTTTACTGTAGTTGCCAGAACTCTTTTGACCCTAAACCCTATATCCTAAACCCCTAAACCCCTAGAGCCCTAGAGCCCTAGACCCCTGCAGTCGCTAGGAACCCACCTCCGAGGCATCGCCAAAGCCCTGGAGGCCGAGGTACAGAAAGCCGCCGAGGCCGCCACGAAGAAGAAAAGCGGAGCCAAGAAAGCCGTGGAGGACGAGGCCCCAGGGAGTTGGGGGCCCTTTTTTGGGGGCCCTTAGTCCCTAGACTCTAAGCCCAAGGAGTTGGGGGGTTTTTGGGGTTTCGGGGGTTTATGTGGGTTTAGGGCCTTTTTAACCGTGTCACTTGCTCTCTGAGATCTTGTTGATGTTTTTTTTGTCTGTTGTTGATGGTGCCCAAGAGTTTCCTTGCCCGTTGTTGATGCCAGAGCCGCTTTTGTCTTGCCTGCATTTGGGGCAGGTAAGGGCTGCGGGATGCGAGTTTGCGCAATGAGCAAGCATCTACATATATCTACGCCACGTTGCAGCTCCAGCTCCTGACGACGCTCGGGACGCAGGAATAAATTGCAGCCCTGCTGCTCGCAATGGAAGCCGAAGATGGCCAGGCTTGGCAGTGCGATCTCCCAATTACCAGCTGACCGATGACAGCACGTCAACCAGGGTATAGAGAAAAGTCTACTCTGTTGCGAATGCTGTCAGTACTGTGACTGTTCATTGCTGTAGTGCTGCCGTTAGAGTTCACCTTGCTTTGCTGGTTCGGCTCGTGTTCCACAGTCTGCGACAGTATGAATATGCTTCATAGCAAAACTAGTTACGCTATCGATATCTGTTCCCATGCGGGTAGGCAGCCACCTGCACCGTGACATTAACACTGTGACTACTTACAAATCAGTACCCACATCCAAACGGTCGTTGCCCGAAGTACCGTTCAGCCGAACACCAACATTCAAGCCACACATGTCCGCCATTGATCCGCATACAAGAGACGGCTGATCGCAAGGATGATGGAAATGATGGCACCGCTGATGAAGATGACGGTGCTGATGGGATAGTGATCACGATCTATGTAGTTGCTAGTGACTAGTGTCCAGGTATGTCAGGTATGTTTTGGTTTCTTCTGAGCTTGGCTACATGTTGGTCTTTTTCTTGCTTGCTGGTCATTGCTGGTCGTTTTGTGTGACCGTTTTCACAGCATGAAAGTGATTCTGTGTTCTCTGATTGCTATCACCATCTTCACCTTTGTTCTAGTCGTGCCTACTGGAGCACGGTCCCTGAAGCGGCGGACGCAGGATGACGACCTTCACGCGAAGAAGGGCGGCAAGCGCACGAAGGGGGCCAAGAAGAAGCGAGGTTGGCATTGCGGGGTTCGTGTATGCTGCACGAGTCATGATTTAGAGATTCTGGTCCGAAAATGTTGTGCCTGAGTTCACTTTTGAGGGTGTAGCTTCGGGGTTTGGGTGTGGGAACCGCGAGTCTGAATCTGAGAATGTTCCCACATTGTTGTCATCCTCATCACCCTTGTCGTGTGAACTAGCAGCGTCTGCGAATATGAAAAATTCAGTCCTCGCAATCATACTTGCACTCCAAGTTTCACAGCATTGGGTTCCATCCACATGCGAGTGGCTTAGGGTCTAGAGACTGGCTCTAGGTTGGTGCAGCGCATCCCGCAGTCGAAATACTACATCAGTTAAACAGCGTCGTTCTTCATGCAGCACAGCACTGTTAGCGTACAAAGTCTGCTTGTGCTGATCGTATGTAGAATCAGCACACGGCAACACCATGTTGAATACGAACGCCAGCACCCAAGCGCCCTCGTGCGAAATTTCTTCCCCGACTGCGCGGGGGGTCGGGCCAGGCCTCTAACAGGCTCCAAAGGCCCCGCATCCCAAGGCGCGCGGGGGGTCAGGCCAGGCCTCTAACAGACTCGAGAGGCCCCGCATCCCAAGGCGGTCCTTGGATGAGCGAAAACAGTGCTGGCGGTTAAAATAGCAGTTGCCACTTGCGTCGAATCGTCAAGGTCGTGGCCAGCTTGTTGATCCTGTCACCCTGAACTACTACTTAAGGGAGGCATCTGACATCAACGTGAACTGCAATTGCCCCATCCCATCGAAAAGGCAAAGAGGGCTTGTGAGCAGCATTGGTAAAATTGACGACTAATGTTACCAGTGAGATTGACTTATTTGCTGCTTTTGGTACAGCCATGATCATTATGAAACGACACGACGACTACAAGGTGCAGTACTACCAGCAGCTCTGTTTTCGGTATAGTCTTATTGTCACAGACCTGAAAGTTTCTTTCAGGCGACGACGACGATGCCGTCGAGACATCTCGTGCTGGCAACGCCGAATCAGGCCTTCGTTTCGACTAGGGGACCATTTGGGGTTTCCGAAATAAGGGGTACCTTACATTGGGGTCCTTATAACAAGGATCCTACTATTTAGGGTACTATATTAGGGTCCCCAATTTTCGGAAACCCCCATTTTCGACTGCTAGAGTTTTCAATTTCTACAGAGGTGGGCTACAGGAGCAGTGGCACAGGCCCCCAATTTTGGCCGGTTTGTGTTGCCATGAAGACTCGGGCTTACACAACATGCAGAATGATAGATATTAGCTTTGTTCAGCCACTGTGTTAAGCACAATGCTACAGTTTGCTTCCGATGCTCCGGGCTGCAAGCTGTGGATGAATCGAAATTCCAAGGCGTGCCAAATGATGCCATTGCCAACTATCTGGCGGATGCTGTGCAGCACTTTTCGGGAAAGTGGGTGGTAACACGTACTATTGCTAGGTAATACCGGAAGCCATCGCAAGCGTGCTTTTATTGAATGGTATACCGTCGACGACGTAGTACAGGAATCGCCATCGTATGCCGTCCTTCTGCCAAGCAGCCCTGACGAAGCGAAGTTAGTGTCTCCGCTTCTGACTTCATTTGCTCTTTCACGTTGTCGCTGGAGAGAAGGTGCCCGCTAATTAGCTTTGATGAAGAAAGCAGGCTTTCTGGACCAAGATCCTTCCCACTTGTTTGACCTCTCCGTCTTGCAGCAGGGGGTTCAAACTGAGACTTCTTGTACAGCATCACCCCGAGATTTTTCAAGTGCCGTGAAGCCGCAGTTGAAGTAGCCTTTGTTGCTCCTAATGCCGTATGCCGAGGACCAGCATCCAGATCTGCCCATCGACATCCAGGATGACCTTTGCGCAAAAGCCACACGGCTGGCTTCAATAGGGCAGTTTCTGCCGTAGAGTCTGCCCAGTCGAAATCCTAAACCCGAAACTGCGCAGAATTGCAGATGTACGTCCTCAGTGCTCATCCCGTGTTGTTGGTTGCAAGACGAACTCCCACACCCGGTCCAGATGCGAGTGTGCCACAGGTGCAGGTACTTCTGACAGCGATGGTCGCCGAGGTTGCTGAGAAGCGGCGGAGCCGCATTCAACTCGATGATTCTTCTTGGCACAGGGTTTTGGGATGTTTGGCGTTCAGTGTTCGTGGAACGACCTCCGAGTCTGATGTTTTTGTTGCACACTTGCTCCTTTGTTCATGCTCCCGCTGGAGTGGACATGCCAATCAATCCATCCTGGTTTCTACGCGATGTTGCAGCTACTGAAATATGCTACAGTCTGCGCGATTTCGTACGTTGATCCGTGTATATAGGTATTACTGTTTTCCACCCGACCGCCGCTGCGCCGGCTGTGATTGGATGTGTGTGTGAGGTTGCGGTCCACACTGCAGACGAAGCAGAATCATCACTTCGGACAGGTGCTGGGAAATGGCAGGGCTTGATGTTCATTTCAGCCCTCGTAGCCTCCTGCACCAGCTAGAACTGCGTCGTCGAATCAAGGGGACGAAAGCTTAGTGTTGGGGTTCCATGTGGCTTAAGACTTGTTTCCGCCTGTCCAAGCAAATAGCAGAACTCACACAGAATCACAATCCGCAACCAGGGAGGATGCTCTATGCTGGGGTCCTGGCTACGGCTCCCCCGCATTTAGCTGAGTAGCATTTGCCGCGGCACCGTGGTTCGTTTCACCGAACCAGGTTGGGTCCATTCAGATAAAGCTTCTCTACACACCGGCCGATTTTTATGTTGCATCTTGCAGTATGTTATAGCATCTTATATCGTTTGCTATAGCATACTATATAGGAGATTATCGTCTGTGATAGCATCTGCACGCCGTCTTGCAATCCCTGGAGGTGGATTTAGGGTTTAAAAGTTTAGGGTATACTATAGGAGATTATATCGTGTGTGATAGCATCTGCACATCCTCTTGCAAAATCCCCTGGAGGCCGATAAGGTCGTCCAGGAGCGCTACGAGAGGCTGGTGCTTGGCCTCCGGGCCCTCGAAGCGGCAAAGCTCCAGGAGCTACCTTTCAGGGTTTAGGGTTAGGGTTTAGGGGGTTTAGGGTTTAGGGGGTTTAGGGTTTAGGGGTTTAGGGTTTTAGGGTTTAGGGGGTTAAGGGTTTAGGGTTTCCTCAAACGGATCTATAAGGGCTTCTTCAGGGTTTGTATAAGGGTTCTACATTATATGGGTAGTTCTCTAAATTCGGGTCCCTTTTTAGGGGGTCCTTTTTTTTATAAGGGTGCCGTACTATGTTGGGGATCCTGAAAGGGGACCCTAGTTTAGAGAACTACCCACATGCAGTCTCTTCAGGGGCTGGGTTTCCCTTTCAGGAACTCCTCATCGTCGTCACTTTAGGAAGAGTGTGCGTTTAATGCACCCTCCCCCCCAAACCCTAAACCCTAAACCCTAAACCCCTAAACCCTAAACCCTGGTGGGTCTTAGCTCCAAGAGCTGGCCATCCAACCCTAAAACCCCTAAACCCCTGAACCCCATCGTCGTCACCAGAAGCTGACGGCTGATGTCCAAGATGAGACCATCCTTAGGCTACCGACGATCGTGCCGACACCGACTGCCCTTAGAACTTATAACTTCGTATGGGTACTTCTCTAAACTAGGGTCCCTTTGTGGGTCCCCAAACAAACCCTAATTTAGAGAACTACCCTTATAGTACCCCTTAAAGTGTAGTGATCCTTATAGTACTCTGAAGTCTGTTAACTAGGACATTTTTGTCGATGCTCGTCTGCTACTCGACTCGTTCCATTGGGCTTTGGTGTTATAAGCTCGGGCTTTTGGAATTTGGTAAGAGTATTGTGTCTGTCGCCATTGAGCCAATCTAGAATGTACCTGGGCTCTACAATGGTTATATGTACAACAACTAGAAAGAATCTCGTGCTGCGGTTTATGTCGCCCCAAGGAGTCACCGCTCTACCAGTCACTTGGACAGCAGCTCCTTTGGTGGGACGTGTTTGGGTTGGTGCAAGCTCACAGATTAATCTGACGTGTCACGAGAGCCGACCCGGTATGAGTTTACATAGCGTTCAGAGCTGTGTGCACCATTGAATGGAGCGGTGTAGATCACTGGTTTCGCTTCTTGCTTCTCGTTCAGACAGAGCGCGACTGTCCGGGCTACAGCCTTGCTGAGGATAGGCCGGGGTAAACCAATGCAGTCTTCTGCTAGATGTACCCTAAACCCTAAACCCTAAGCCTACGCCCTACACGTTCCTATGAACGAAAGTTAGTCGCAGCCGGACGGCAGACCAGTGTTGACTTGCGGCCCGTTGGAAGATCCCCCAAAGTCCCAAAAGAACACCGGAGAGCCAACAACCCTACAGCCCAGAGCGCTTCGAACCCCCAGCCCCAAAGCCCGCATCTTCAAGGCACCTCTTGAAAGAGGTGGTTTTGGAGCCTTGCCACATGCTCATTGCCCTCCGCCTCGAGGAGGCCGGCGCGCTGAAACTCCAACTTTTCCGCTCAGGAAAGCATTTCTAACTGGATTGGCAGGCAGAAAGGAGGTCTCAACAAAGGAAAGCATGTGAAGCAAATACTTGCAACGGTATCAGCTTGAGCACGACTTCACCCGCACAACAACACAACTGCTGCTCTACTACTACTGCTACTACTACGACTACTACTACTACTAGTACTGGAACTAGTAGTAGTAGTAGTAGTAGTAGTAGTAATACTACAACAACTTCTACCTACCTACCTACCTACCTACCTGCCTGCCTGCCTGCCTGCCTGCCTGCCTGCCTGCCTGCCTGCCTGCCTACCTACCTACCTACCTACCTACCTACCTACTACGATTGCTACTGCTACTGCCTGCTCTAACTGCGAAGCAATTCTGCTGTCGTGTCAATCCAGGCCACGGGAAACAGTCCCGAGGTCACCGCTTCTAGCCGAAAGATTCTCGGACAGAATTGGACTTCTGCTTTCCCAATATCCGCAATCTAGAATCCCCTAACCTCAAATGAAACACTTTTGGAACAACAGCACCCCTACTGATTCAAGAGTGTTACTTTTCCTAGCGACGGTAGTACAATAGGAATAAGAATGGCAGCCCAAAGCTCAAGTTCGAACCCCAAATTGCAAGCCCTTGAACCAACACCCGGAACTCTCGAAGCCACCCGTGGAGCCCGAAACCCGGAATTTCAATATCCCTCAGCCCTATAACCCCTAAAGCCCGAATTCCTGAACCCCAAAGCCTAAACCCTAAACCCTAAAGCCCGAATTCCTAAACCCCAAAAGCCTAAACCCTAAACCCCTAAAGCCCGAATTCCTAAACCCCAAAGGCCTAAACCCTAAACCCTAAAGCCCGAATTCCTAAACCCCAAAGCCTAGACCCTAAACCCCTAAAGCCCAAAAGCCTAAACCCGACACCCCTAAACCCTAAACCCTGAACCCTAAACCCCAAAAGCCTAAACCCTAAACCCCCAAAACCTCGAATTCCTAAACCCCCCAAAGCCTCGACCCTAAACCCCTGAAGCCCGAATTCCTAACCCCCAAAGGCCTAAACCCTAAACAAGTAAACCCCTAAACCCTAAACCCCATAAGCCCCATTCCTAAACCCCTAAACCCCAAAAGCCCGAAATTCCTAAAACCCCCAAAAGCCAAGGCAGAGCTTAGAGAAGCTCATCGCAGCCGAGGGAGCTGCCAAGGTGGAGTCTCTCTCCAGGCCTCGGCGTCTGAAAAAAGCACAGAGTGCTTTTGCAGATGGGTTGTTTGTTTTTTTTAAGTATGTTTTTGTAATATTATGGTTTTTTTAAATATATTCTTGTATATTTCGGGTATGGGGGTTTAGGGTGTAGGGTAGGATGCAGGAGTTGAGGATTCAGTGGCCCAGGGTTCAGGGGGTTCGCCCCCTCTGGTACTTAAACCTGCTGAGGGACAGGCTGGATTGAGCATTTGAGCATATAGGTGTTCAGGGTCAGGGTTCTTGCTATCTTGCTTCGGCTGCTGCTGCTACTGGACGTTTGTTGACATGGGGTTGTAGGAGTTTCTCGAGGATTTGGTGAGGGTTTCGCAAGGCAGAGATGGCATCTAGTGCAGTGATCGAGGAACCTAGGTTTTGTGTGGATCTGTTTGAGATATTGTTGTTTGGCTTCAGTTTGGGATGTACGGGCTGCAGTGGTCCTTGTAGCCGCTTATTTAGCGATGGTGATCGGGGCCCGTGGCGATGGTGATGATGGTGGTCATGGTGGTGATGGTGGTAACCGCGGTGACGCTGGTGAAGGTGGTGACGATAGTGATGGAGGCGGCGGTGGTCGTCGGACATCATCTTCATCATCGTTGTCGTTACCATCGTAGAATCATTAGAACCGATAGAATGCCCGAAGTGAGTCTGAAAATTGAAGTTCAGCTCCGAGATAGTGCATCAACGGAAACCTCAGCGAGTAACGTATTTTGCGGTACCCTGATGTATCCTTGACCACCGAACTCCCTGTTTAAAGGTGTGGAATGGGGTTCTTCTCACATATTCGCGTCACAACTCTGCAACCCCGCCGGGTGAAGTTCACCAAAGAGGCTGGCAGCCGTCTTGGTGCACAAGAAGGAGGCGAAAGATGCTAAGGCGCCCTCATGCGTTTCAGATCTAGCAATCTGTGTCTCCGGCTCGTCTGTGGATTTTTATGGGATTTAACAGCAAGGGTCTGCAGGCGTCAATGGGGGGCTGGGGTTCTGAAATGTACATCTTTCACGTAGATGCTACGCAACAGACTTTGCAGCCACTCTTGTGATTGTATTTGGCTGTGTCAAAATCAGGTATAGTCGTGCGGGATGATAAGGGCAGCCCCGGAATCTGGTTCTGAAACTCTGAAACTTGAAGTTAAAAGCGCCTCCGCATAAGATGCGGCGTCAACATCAATACTCCTGTCGTCCTAAGCCCTCAAACTCGAACCACGAAAACTGAAGAACTTTACGGCAACATTCCCCGAGCTTTGAGTCCGAACTCCCAGCCTGCACCAATAGGAGCACAAAGAGGTGAAGCAGGCCTGCTTCCTTTGTGATCTCTTTTGGGGTCAGGCCTTGACCCTATGAGCCACTACATGGCTGACCTAATCTGTTTTGCTTGAAGCTTCGATTTTCGTGTCCGGGGTTTGGGTTTTCCCATCTCCAGGACCATACCATGCAGGGTTCAGGATTTCCATGTTGATCGCTTGCCGCAAAGATTTCGAAGACGTCTGCTTATAGGGAGCGCTACTATGATTGTCACTCTGGCTGCTGTTGCTCTGCTCATTCTTCTTAGTCTTAGCTACTACATGGGCTGTTGGTGTTGCCTCGGCTATGGGTAGTGTTCCCACATTTCTCACCATTCATATTGTAAATGCGCGTTGCTTGTTTTGGTGAGTGCCATCATTATCATGTTCGAGGCTGTTTGGAGTACTGTCACACGACAGCTGCTAGAAAAAAATAGAATGACGAAGCGTACGACCGCTGCAGTACACTACCATGCTTGCCTGTACTATCATGTTTGCGCTGCTATGCTTGTGTGTGTGTAACATGGGGGCCTTAATAATTACCTATATTATTTTGGGGGGTTCCTTATTATAAGTATAGTATAATGGGCCCCAAAACCCTATTCTAATTATTAAGGCCCCTACATTATTTTGTTCTGTTCGCGAGTTGCATCTCCTGGTCCTACTTTGCTGCAGGGATCAAGACACACTTACCTTTGGCCTTGCCATCGTTGCTGCTGTTGGTGCTGCGACTGCTATAGTTGCTTTCAGACCGACGGTTCACAGATGACGACCACTTCGTGAAATCATCTTCCCATCTTCGCCGCCTACATCTAACTAGATCGGCCCTGGACGATGCAGGAGAAGTCGGGCAAGTCTAAGAAGAGCCAAGGAGATGTGTTTCGGGGACCGGGGCTTCCCTTAGGACCTGTTCTCAATCTGCTTTGTCGGTTAGTCTCTCGCCTCCACGCCCCCGAGGAGCTCTGCGCCCGAAAAACCTCGGTTGTGCCATTCTCAGAAGTATTTTACTCCTCAGCTCCCCTTCTTTGAACCGGGCATCTGCTGGAAGCTCCAACCTGCTCCCCCGCCCCCGTGTGAGAACTGAACCAGACGCCCCAAGATCGCAGCACAGAGCCCGGCGATTTCCATTGCAACCTTACCAGTAAGATGCTGATTGCGATTCCGCATAGACATGCGCCGCACAGACACGCAAGCATTTGGTTAGAGTGGTTGCTTCAGAAAGCGGGCATAAACAATCAGCAAGTATGAGCTATCGTAACGTGAATGGGGGCTGACGAGTAACGACAAAAGGATGATCTTGCCCTAGTAACTTTATCGGTGCAGTTCAGTCATCCGTCGTCGGCCAGAAGGGGACAACAATGTTACTACGTGCCCCGATTTTCTGCGACTAGTAACAGAAGTCATTTCAGGAGCTGCAGTTGATGGAGGGCAGGTTGGAGTATGGTACTTGATGGGACTCCCCACTCCCGACCCGGCGTCCGCAAAACAACCGGGCGCCACAAAGAGCTTTGTTTCTGATGCTGGGGCGGGCTGGGGTTCTTGTCGTGGTAAAATGTAGTAGGTGATGCGCATGATGATGAGGATGATGATGATCATGATGATGATGATGTTGTTGTTGTTGTGGTTGCTGCTGGCTGCCTGCTGCTGCTGCTCCTGCTGCTGCGGCTGCAGCGCTGCATGGTAGCTGTTCATTTCGCTTGTCTTGGTGTTGCTACTGGTTATGGTTCTGTCCATGAGTACGTTCACTGATTTGTAAAAGCTCACCATTCGTCACTGTTCCAGCTTCACCAACAGCTGTGGCGGTATTAGGCATTCGTATCTACTGTTATCACTGATGGTCGTCGTGTTGATGTCGTCGTCGTTGTTGTTGTTGGCATTGTTGTCGTATTCGTCGTTGTCTTTTTTCAGGACATGCCGCAGATGAGCAAGAGCCAACGGTCGCGGATGTCTCGGAGCTGTATCACGCAGCTGTGGGAGACCCAGATCTCAGGTTTGGGACATGCGCTGCAAGGCGCTGAGGCTTTAAGGCTTCACCTGAATGGGTGGCAGGTAGGGTGGCGTCGGATGTCAATGTCAGGGTTGAATGAGGGGTGAGGTGGAGGGTGCAGGGGTTTCGGCTCGCCATTCATTCCCGGATACACTCTGCACAGGCGGACGACAGCCATATCTTTTGCCGGAAGGTGGACAAGAAGAAGGAGAAGGCCCAGTGCTGGTCCCAACATGAACAAGAGCACCGTTCGAGAGCTCTCACGGGACTTGCTTGACAGTATAGCGAAGCGGACGACCCAAGACCTTACAATTCAGGGCCAAATGGCTTGCTGCGAACCACCATCGCGTTCAGCCTCCCCAGCTCCTCAGCCCCAATCTGACAGGTTCGTGGAAGTCCTAGGCGCCACCCAGGCCTTCAACCTAGCATGGCCAAGCCTTACACCGGCGGAAAACTTGTAGCCAAACTTGTAGCCAAGATACAGTCCGAAAATAGGGAACCCTGATATAGTACCCTAAATAGTAGGATCCTTAAAAATACGGACCCCCAAATAAGGTACCCCCTAATTTTCGGAAAGTCCCTAAAAAAGGCTGCAGCGCAAGAGCAGCGAGCAGCGCTGAAGATGCAGCTCAAGGAGCAGGGTTTAGGGTTTTAGGGTTTTAGGGTTTAGGGTTTTAGGGTTTTAGGGTTTTAGGGTTTAGGGTTTAGGGCTCATGAGCTCCACGACTTGTCGTTTTCAGTTCGGGGACCTTGAAGCTTTCGTTTGTGGAGGTGCTGTAGGATCCATTTTCATCTCGAATTAGAGTTTAACCATTTGGGTGTTTCCGAAAATAGGGGACCCGAATATAGTACCCTAAAAAGTAGGATCCTTATCATAAGGACCCCAAAATAAGGCACCCCTTACTTTCGGAAACTCCCATCATGATGACCATGAGCACTCTGGCCACCTCAAAGTGGATTTGGCCACTTTCATGTGCCATTATTGCGCTTGCTATGATTATTATCATTGTTGTAACTTCCACGACTTACACTACTACTGCGACGACGACGACTACTACCACGACTACGACGACGACTACTCAGTGCTTTTACCATGGTCATGACCTCCTCATATTTGACGACATCTTTGTTTTGCCCTTGCTCTTTGTCTCGCAGGAGCTCCTGCCCACAGCGGGGGCCTCGAGGGATAAGACTTCACGATCTCAGCTGTGCAGCCATGGCCTTCATAATCATGATCGCATCATGATGGAAATGATAGCCGTTATCATAAGTCATAGCATGTGAAACTAAGTGGCGCTTGGGGCATCCTTGATGCCCATGCTGGGAGGTATCTGTGGGCTGCATCTAACCCCCTTGCTTCACTTGGGGGGCACTGCAGGAACAGTTTTATCAAACAAGCACCCACACATGATTAAGCTTCTGGATGGGATATCCTTTTTCCGGCTTACTTAAAGAGGCTCTTATGGGCTATCCCAACCTTGCTTGTCTGGGTCCTTAGTTATCCATAACTAGGGATGAAATGGCCTACTTGTGTAGAGGTGAGTAGCTGCTAGCTGTCTGGACCGATTGCTATACTCCGAAGCCATTAAACCTATGCAAGCATGTTCCCTCGTTTGGTGTCGAATGGCGCAAACTGTGTCCAGGTTTGCAGCGGGGTTGCAAGGGCTTCGTTTCATGTTCTGAGGGAGCAGTCATGCAGTAGCGGTCAAAGCCCCACAACTACCCAGACCTGCTTGCATTCATTGCGCTTGGCACGTCAACAAGGCAACCAAAAGGGTTTGATGAACTGTTACTAGGACAACTCGTTTCATGAGATTTGCTTCGAAGCCACATCTTCTTTTTCCATATCAGGATGCGCTAGTCATCTGCCACACGGGGCTTCAAATGGCTCTGAACGCGGAAGGACTGGGCTTTTTGGAAGACAGCCGCAGCTTCATGCTCTTAGTAACTCTTAGTATTTCGGTCTTACTTCTTTTCAGCTCGGGCAACTTGCTGGAAGGTTTCGGGTGGAGGATCAGGTGTCCAAGCCAGTTTGGTGTTCATCGGCGCACTCTTCTCGTGTGACTCAGCGCATTCTTCCGTCTAAATCACTTTGCAAGATCTCTCTGAGAGATTCCGTAGAGCCGAAAGCCTGAATCCTAGATGCCTGAGGCCAGAAATGCTCGAGATCCGAACATCCCAAACCCCACAAACGGTAATTCCAAGGCCCTTGCAGCCAAAGTTCTAAAACTAAGGCCACAGGTCCTCTTGCCCCACACCCCACTAAGACATACAAAAACTAAAGCCTCGTTCTAGCCCTTCCTGGTCATATATATATATACATACACATGTACTACTATAGTAGTTACGTATATTACTACATTACCGAAAAACCTACGAACCCTCTTCCACTTCTAAAGGCACCCATATGGAGTCCCCGAAGCCAGGCATCTCCTGCCTGGTACTCCCTCTTGAGCTTTGGGCCTTGCGCCTTGCCGCCGGCTGCCTGCAGAGTGAGGAGGCGGACTGTGACTGGTGCCTAGTCCTTCGGCGTCCTTCTTACCTTCAGATGCCGGAGAGGTACAGCACAAGAGAATCACAGGAATATGTATGTATGTATGTATGTATGTATGTATGTATATATATATATATGTAGCAGCTGTGCTGTGATTATTTTATTATTATTCAAGAAAAGGCATCCTACCTAACAAGTGAAATAGTGGGTTAAGGCATCAGGGTCTAGCAAGCTTGAAGGAAGGAGCACAGTCGTGGTAGTAAGGCGCAGCAATGCTTGAATTGCACGGCAAGAGATGATACAGACGGTCATGATGAGCACACATGTGAAAGCTCTATTGTGGGTGACTTGACGATGTCAACCCGCAACCACCCCACTGAAGCTCGATGGGAAGAAGTGCGCCAGGCCAAAGAACAGTGCCTGCAGCTCTGTGACCTCTGTGACAAAGAGAAAGGCCCCCGATCTGGGGAACTGAGGGGGGGGGGGAAATTGGCAAATATTCGGAGGCCAGCCAAGCCAAGCGAAGCATCACAGCTTCCGCAACAGGTGCTTCCGCAACGTGTGGTAGTCAGGGCCTGTCCAGCCGAACTTTTTCAGTTCTGTGAGCTTGGCTTTACCCTACTCGAGCCCATGGCCCCCAAGCCCTCAAATGATTCCGAAACGACTTTGAGCCTGGATACTATAGGGGGGTAAATGAGTATCAATCCTATTTTGGAGCTTCCTTCTGAGTATAGAATGTCATACCCCTAAACTAATTATTAAGGCCCCTACATTAGGTTTGGCACGGTTTGGCTCTATCCAACTCTGGAGATCAGGGTTTGTGTGCTTGACTTCCTTCTGCAAGCAGCTGCTATGGAGGCCTAAATAATTACCTATATTATTTTGGGGGCTCCTTATTATAATTATAGGGTTTTGGGCCCCAAAACCCTATTCTAATTATTAAGGCCCCCCTATATTACGTGCTTCTAGGAGACGGCATGGCACACGGAGAAAGCCGTCACTGCGGACGATGACTGCCTGCAAGTAAGGGCTGCAAGATCAGATCTATGCGGCTTAAAATCCAATTTAACGTCAATCGTGCAACCCTGGTCTCAGGCAAAAAACATCACGAAGGAGCATGAAGAAATCTAGTAGCATCATGCCCCTTGCATCAAAGATGACCCTACCTGAACCCCGAGGTTGAAATCCAGGCTTCACATATCTGACAGGCGAAGATGCAGTCGCCCGGGAAGCAGCAGCCACGGCGTGGCGAGATCGTTTCGTCGCTTCTTAGCAGCGCCTCGTCGCCTTTGCTCAAAAAGGGGAGTTGAGGGTTTAGCAGGGGTTAGAAGTTGATGTGTCGGGGTTTAGGTCTAGGGCCTAGGGGTTTTGCCGCTAGTTTGTCAGTCTCAGTAGCTTGGTGAAGGACGACAAATTGAGCGATCTTACATTGCGGGGGCAAGATGATGCAACAGCAAACCGATATCAAGACTCCTTAATGGCCGTCATGCCAGCAACAGTAACCACAAACACATAGGCATTAACAGCAAGATATGTACGAACAGTAATACAATCGACAACAACAGTTACAACGATATGAACAACGACGGCCGTGGCGGCAGCAGCAGCAGCACCTCCTCCACCACCGCCGCCGCCGCCGCCACCCGCCGCCGCCGCTGCCGCCGCCGACGGCGACGACGACGACAGCGACAACAACAGCAGCAGAAGCAGAAGCAGCAGCAGCAGCAGCCGCCGCAGCAGCAGCAGCGGCGGCAGCGGCAGCAGCAACAACAGCGTGGGCTTCAACAAACTGATCAACACAAAGATGACGGCAACAACAAGAACCATCAGCCGTATTTTGCCCGTGCTTCAACCAAACCAAGCGACTGTCGCGACTAACAACCTTGAGGAGAAGGAAGAGATGGTGCGCAGGTGAAAGCTCTCTACTTGCATGTGGCAGTGAGGCCTCAAAGTGCTGCATTCGTTAGGACCTGACCGATCACTGACAGTATTGACATGTCTCTGCAGCCTAAAGCCCAAACCACCAAACCGTCAAGCCCTCAACCCCAAAAACACTGCACCTGCATCATGAAAACCCCCAAACTCCTAACTTAAACCCCAACCCCTAACCGCTAAAGCCAGTGGTGTGGGTATGCGCCGCAGCCACGTAGGGCTCAAAGGAGGGAGGCTAACACAGCCGAGTCCACCCGAGCTTTTTGCAAGGCCCGCCTTTGCGGTTTCGGGGTTCGCGGTTTGCATGGCTTGTATGGGTTGCATAGGACAGTTGGTTCCAGGCTTCCGGGGCTTGTAGAGTTTATGTAGGGTTTAGGGGTTTAGGCTTTTTTCGAGAACGGATTTTGGGAGCAGGACCTCTGGATGGCTCGCAATCTGCAGTTGGCCATCAGGAAGAGGCCTTAGTACATATATCATATACTTACTAAGATGTAGCGTACGTGGCCGCACAAGGAGTTCGGTCGCTGCGGCAAGTGTTGTGGCTACTAGCTGTAATCGTTCTTGGTAGTTTTGTTACCTTAAGGCTGGCACTTGATAGTACGCAGCTGGCACAGGTGGGACATGTTGCTGCGTTGTTAAGTGCCAATCCCAAACTTGCAACTGACGAGCATCCAGCGCTTGTAGGTATTTTGCTTTGGCCACCATGCTTGCAAATTTGTGTGTGCGTGTGTGTGCGTGCGTGTG